ATTTTTGAACTAATAAAAGTCAATATGCTAGCAATCTCTACGACGAGCACATAAATCCTACGACACTGCAAGCAACACGCGCGGTATTTAGCTCTGTGATTTGTAGTGATGCGTGTCACATAGGCAGAAGGATTGAGGTCAGACGTTTCTTACGCCATTATCTCGCATATTCGAGGGACGCAAGTAGTACACTTTTTGGACTGCTGGCCTGGCTACCAGTTGCGCGGAGGCATTTTGCGCATGACTTGTTCGTGGAGAGTGCCTTTGGATAAGCAGAGATATTTTGAGATATTTTAATATCTTGAAAAACTCACCTAAAGTGAGTGCCATCGCGAAATGTGTTCCTTTTGATATATGCGTCTCGGTGTACTCGATATTCCGAAGGATAGTTTCATGATAGACAAAATGTAGCGACAGCTCCATCACACCCCACCAAAAAGCGATTCTCAACGCGAACAACAAGTCCGCCTTCCAGTCCCTTGTCTTCTGTCGTCGCTCAGAAATCTGCCGCTCGAAATCCGCATACAGTACAATCAGTGAGAATAGATACGGTTGGTAGAATGTGTAGAACATCATTCGGAGGTATTGTTTCACCAACGTGTCGTCCTCTTTCCTTACTGGCTTGTCTATCGTATCCATACAGTAAGACACATAGCTCAGCATACTGTAGGATACAAATGTGTAGATCAGAAATGGATTATCAGAAATATGGGGCGAATGGTGCATCACTGCGTAGAGAAGTGGCAGAGATGACAACCATATGACGAATTTCCGTCTGAAATTGAATTATTACGATTTATTTAGCTGTTTTATCCTGTAAGCATGGTCCATGCTGATCGAAGGGCGGAGTGAGGCCTACCATGGAATCCGTCATGAGGCGCCTGACTTTTTCTAAGGTGATATAGATTAGCGCACCAATGAGGGAAAAGCAGTGGTAGGCCTAAGTTCTCCCGAGCGATCAACGCGGAACCGTGAGAGACTGCGCCTCCAACCATGTATTGTAAATGTTCCAAATGCGTCTAAAACTCAATTACTCTGCTTATTAATGTTTCTCTTCTAGTGCAGCAGCTCACATACAGTCGTCATCTTGCATCTTGAAGGGGGCGCTCGGTCGGCGAGAAAAGGAGCGTGCACACTGTTTGAAGCCTTCTCAGCCTTTTCGTTGAAACTATGCGACAAAAAGTGATAGAAAACGAGTAACACGAAGGATATAATACAGTAATGTCACTTCCTGGTTCAACGATTGGTGCAGTACGGGTGCGGGCGACCGCGCCGCACGCAGCCGCACTGACATTGACTATCAAGTGCAAGGATGACGACTGTACATGCGCGGCAAGCAGTCCTGGAAAAGGCTTTACAGAAAGACTCCCCCCCCTACAAAATTCTTAATCTGCGGTACGAACAAACATGTGCCGCGAACTGTTTACATTATTCCCGAATTCTCCCCCTTTCTAAATTTTAGTGAGCTTTTTTCAACCAATTCGGCTAGATTTTTCCACGATAAAACTGCGCTTCACAGGGTATGAAAAATCCCGGGAACTCCAAAAACCAAAACACTTCCTTCAAAAAACGAATACGAATCGGCACCCACAAACACCACCCCTCTCCTCCGCTCCCCCCCTCCTGCCTTCGAGGGCACTTTGTCCGCGAAAATGGGCGCAGAAATGTTTGGAAAAGTTACAGCGGAAAAAGTAGATGAGAAACTCAGGAGTATTACTAGGTGAGGACAGGAATGGGGGTATCGCCACAGAAGTGTGATGTGGTTGTGTTTGTTTAGTGGGGGTTGGCGGTTGGTCGCATTCTCCAAGAATTTTCACCAACGGGCGCGTGCCTTGCTAGTGCATGCCTTCCGCAACTTATTGCAGGTCAAATCGCAACCGGAAAACCATAATAATTATGAGCAGTAGTTGAATGCGTGGCGTATCACAAAATGAGATTCAATTGAAACTGGGAGCTGGTAAGCTTCTGCTAGCAAATTGGGCGCAGTTTGGCTTAGAGGTTGCATTTTTTGGTTCCCATCTATAACTGCCGATGCCTCCCATGGGGACTGTAAATTCCTGTGAAGCTATGCATTAACAGGGGCTTCGTTTACAGTAGACAAAAGGTAAAAATTCTCAACAGGGAGGGACCTGTGATCAGGCAAGAATTAGAGAATGTAGAGAAAGTGCAATATCTCTCACCCCCCACCCCCTCCCGCCGCCGAGCAGCGCCACCGCTTCTCATAAATGAACAATTTTTCACGGTTGTAAGGCGGGTAAAAAAGTACTAGAAAACTCACTTGAAGAAGCGAGAGACACTAAACATCAAAGTGCCCTGGATAAGAGAAAGTGCCACCAATCTTGGTGTGAAATAATATACGCATGATGCCATGCTCAGTAAAGTATAAACGATAGTGAAAGGCAGATCAGGGATCATTTTCGATCCCAAGTTGAATATCACAGTGTGGGCCAGAAATACCGGTAAATATCGCCATGCAAATGGAGAGTAATGAATCCATTCCCAGCTACTGAGATCCTGCAAACAAATCGATTTTCATAAATATTCGATAGAAAGGACTAGCTAGGGCTATCGAACCTTTATGACAGTTCCAAAGAAAGGCAGTTCAACTTGCACACCATAGTCACCCATAACCCACACGTATTCATGGCTAGCTTTGAGGACAGCATATGTACCATAGGCGATAGCGCTAGCGATGATGGCGATACATAGATTGAGTTCAGGTAAGGCTGGATAGGTGAATGTGACCCTTTCGGCTCGATTGACGGTGGTAGCTCCCATGCCGGATCGACAACGGGGGATTTGAAACGTTCACACCACTGGCGCTATCGAAAAGTGGGTCGACTGCCGCGCGGAAAGTGAAATCGCCTTACGAGTTTGGGGAGGCGTTCCTTTGAAAAGAATACATAGGAACGTTACGGCGCAGACTTGTCCTCAATGAGGGCAACGATCTCGTCACGGAAAGGATTAGCTGTAAATTTGATGGAAAGTTCTGGAATGGTGACCTTTTCTTGGTAATAGTGGAGAGTGTTTCTGATTTTGCACACTTCTAAATTTGTCATTTATTTAGAAACCGGAAAACGATCGATATCACACTGTGGCAGTGGCGAGTACCAGTGTGACGACGGACAATGTATTGCTAAGGTAAGTAATGTGATGACCTTGGACGTGACGTCGACGAGCACGACCTCACCCACTTTTGCAGCGTTGTTCACTATTTCATTGGGACCGTAAATCATGTGGTGCAGATTGATAACCGCTGCCTGAATTGAACCAGTTCAACTGGGAAAGGTGTTTTAATTGACCCAGCACCACATCATCGCCGGCTACTGCGGTTTATTGCTCTTAGTCAGGAGCAAAGCCACGTTATAGGAGCGAATTTGGACCATCCCTTTAGGAGGTGCTCAGAATTTGCTTCCAGAGCTCTTTCCGGTAGTTTATCCTTTGTAACTCTCAGGAATGGGGTAATAATTCAGTATGATTCACTCGAGATTTGTAAAGATGGTTTGCTGTGTCAACCTTTCGGCGAACATCGTCTTCTTCGGAGAACTCGAAACTTATGATCGAAGCAAGTCACCCATGCACCATTTCTAACTTCAGTGAGAAAATACTGTAGTTACATATGCTGCATTACGTCTCTGCTGCCGAGATTAATAGAAA